GCTTTAGAATATCGATACAGTATCGGGAAATGAAATATCGCGATATTTCAGTGTATCGATATTTTCTTACACCCCTGCTCAAAGCAGGAAAACACTACTTAAAATCTAAAAAATAAACTAAACTCTAAAAGGAGCAGACCATAAAGGTAGATGTAGCACATTGCTAGCTAGAAGCTATAAGTAGCAAAATAAAAGCTAGTAGCTAAATGCTAGCTTAAAGTAGTAAATAGCCAGCTGAAAGCAGCAAAAGGCAAGCGTTAAGATGAAAATATAAAAAAAAACTGTCTAAAAGCTAAAGTAGCAGAAGAGCAGCTAAAAACTAAAATTAACAAGAAAAAATAAAACTTGTTTGTAGAGGAAAATGTGTTTTTGAGGAAAATATCTGAATAAAAAACAAAAAAAGTGACATCCGAATGTTAAATAAAGATCTGAAAGTCATTTTTTTTTGTGACAAAGCAATAAGTCTGAGGCCCCTGCTGTGAAGTTTGTAAAAAGCTTGGAGGAAACATTCATGTTGTCAGGCCGTCCTCTGCAGGCTGGCCCGGACCAACGGGGGGCCGGTGCCTGAGGGGCTTCAGAGCCAAGAATCTGAGAAATCTGAACCACGTTCAGCAGGAGAGCTCTCACCTGACAGAACGCCACAGCTCAGAACAATGTCTGCTTTGTGCTCAGCTCTCACGAGTGAGAGGATTGAGAAACGCAGCTTTTTCACAATGACTTCTATTATTCAGAGGAAACGTGTTTTCACTTTTCATGCACGGACTCTTTTTTCCTGCACATTTCTGGTGAAAAACCCAACTCTGGCCAATGAGGTCGGAGCTTACCTGAGTAGTGGTAGTCTCCTGTTGGCGAGGGCTGAGAGAACAACAGCATTTCTAATGTGGCCTAAAKATGAGAGACAAACATGTTACTAAATAATAATAATTAAAAAAACAAACAATAAATAAAGCCAAAGTGTGACCTCACCACAGTGTTGCCCTGACAGTGATGCAGGCAGTGCAGRGCCAGCTCTGTGTTGCTGCCCCCTCCTGGCAGACAGCTGGAACTACACACAGACAACAGCTTGTCCACTGCAAAATAAACACAAACCAAACACACTTCAAACTTTTGTCTCATGAGTTTGCTCTAGTTATCACCAAAGCTTGACCGTGTGGGTATATTTCTCACCATAATTTTAAAGTTTGCCGTGTTATATTCCTCCTCTTACCCTTGTCCTGTGCGAGAGCGCCCGTCTGCAGCTCATCCCACGGTTTCCAGAGCAGCTCCTCCCGAGGCGACGCTTCTTCACGAAGCCAGGCGTTGGACCACTCGCCAAAAAAATGAGGAAGCTCCGYCTGGAAGTCTGGACCCACATTGATATATCTGAGGAGAGAGATTGAAAAAGTGAAATATCAAAAAGAAAAATAAACAAMCAGGAGTGATGCTGTGGCGTGGGGGAAAAGGAGGGGCGGAGCTCGTGGAGTTTTCTTACGGTAACACGCAGCGCTGTTCGTCCTCTTTCTCGTCGTGGCGAGATGACAGGGACGTGTAGAGCCCCACCCCGCCACGGACGGGGTTGAGAAGAGGTCGAGGAGTGTAGTGACCCCTGATGTGAGTCCTTTTGGTGTGAAGGATGCTGGGAAATGGCTTCCCAGTGTAGACTGGGGAGGATTGTTGCTGCAGGAACACAAAAAACCAACATTTTACTCATTTTACTGCAGCTTCTTTTGCATTAAAACACATTCCAGTTAAGACTGAGCATCCCTTTCAGGCTGTGGGTGATTTATGTTGAGAGGGGAGGAGTTATACTTTTATTAGTTTTATCTTTTAAGTGATTTGTCACAGATTAAAATGTGTTGAGGGTGACTTAGTAAAAGTAAAATTACCTTAACAGAAAATGACTTTGGTATAAAATTCATTTCCCTCATAAAAAAGTACTTAAGTAAAAGTCTCAAAACTGCTCACGTTAGTGCTTTTTATTAGCAGAGTTAAAACTTAAATGCTAAGGATGTTGGAACTTGTTGACTTAACTTGGTTAAGTAAATTCAACACTTCATTTTTTTAGAGTGCATAAAAAATGACTTCTGCTCATATTTAACATTTTAGCATGTAAAAAGCATGTAAAAGTATGTTTTTTATGTTTTGAGTGTAACAAAATAAAAGTAAAAGTTACGACTGAAAAAATACCTGGTATAAATTACAAATCCTCAAAAGTATTACGTAAGTACTGTAATGTAGTAAATGTATTTCGTTCCTGTAGATCCCTGATAGAAACAAGAATTTTTAAGTTTTTTTTATTTTTTATTTTAATGTGGTATAACAGAGAATGGACTTTAATATTTATTTATACATTCTTTTCTTAATTTAAAGTCAAACAATGAATTTTTAGTTGTTTTTTTAACCTGATTTGCTGGCTTGTGATCAAATATATCTAAGATATAATAGATGAAAAAGTTGCTACAAAGTAAGACATGAGAAATTAGGTATTTCTAAATTACATATTTTTCTTTATCCATTAGGTTACACTCAAAAAACAAATATAATGAATTTAATTAGAAAGTTATGTGAACTGGTTCCACTCAACTAAACTGAGTAAAGGTAACACAAATACTTTACATTGATGTCAAGTAAATGTAAAGTTAATGTAAAGCAAATGTGTCCTTTTCTCAGTTCAGTTGAATGGAACCAGTTGACATAACTTTCTAATTAAATTATATCTGTTATGTCTGTTTTTGAGTGTAATTAAATGTTACACAAAACATAATTTGGAAAAGATTGGGCCTCATGCAAGAACATGTTCGTATTCTTATCCTAAATTTCTCTTATTTTTGTTCGTACGAAGGGTTCGTACGAACATGTCACGTCAGATTCAACAAACTCTTCTATCTTCAGGAAAAGTGTGTAAATGAGCTGCGTTAATTCCACCTGTTCGTATCCAGCTGCTCGTGCGCGCGAGAGGAGATTAGCATAATGTTTCCTGCCACACAGACAAGGAAGTGTCCATTCATGAAAATGACAGCCAAAACTAAAAAGAAGAACTTTACGAG